CTTAGTTACCTACCCGTCAACTATCGGACCGCCAGTATTTTTCGGAACGCTCAACTAGGAACACCGCTTTCGATTTTTTTCACAGTACGGCTAAAACTTGGACGGTCGGACTAACGTCGGGATTACCATCTGGAGATATTTGCAGGGCTATTCTGGTCACGTTGGCGAAAACGGGTTGCCACGCACGTATTCTTCGTTGTATCCATTGGTCACGCTGTTCATAGTAAAAAACACTCCTGATTGCTGCCAAAAAATCGCAAATAATTGAGTGAAAAGCTGTCATTATTCTAATGTACTGTACACAGCTGTTGAACCACTTCAACACTACACCCGTAATATGAAAGTAACTTCTCAATTATTTTGATGTGTTTCCACTGAGCTCAGATGATAAGACCCCGTGATTGCTTGTAAAACCCAACTTAAGCCTGTCATTCATTTTCATTTATCATCAGGTTAAAGCCGATCCGGCTAAAGTGAAAGCCTTCAGTGAAAGTCTCACTAAGTTGGGTGATGTGTACGTCAACGACGCTTTTGGCACTGCCCACCGAGCTCACGCGTGAGTTTCACTTCATATTACTTGTGTGATTTCGCTTTAAAGCTGCCCTCGTTGCACCGACGGATTTATTCGATCTTCAGTTGATGAACTGTTTGAGACTTGTTTTTTCGTTACCAAAACCTATTCAGGTAACAAGTGATAACGACATGTTTAATACAGTAATCAGTATTGTTATCGTCCAGCCCTATGTCCGTTGGCGACATTTAAGGTAAAGCTCCATTTCTTACTATTCAACATGCCAGAACATACGGTCAGTCAATAGTGCCCATATCGTTCCGTCTGTTACGTTCAGTGTGACTGTTGCAGCTGGACACGCTGATCCTACTCGAAATACTGTTGGTGTAATTATTTTCATGGTGGCTGATGTAGTCCACTGATTTCCTGTGTACACATGTTTGCCGACTGCACCAAAACTAGATAGATACTACGGACACTGGGCGCTTGTCAAAGAAGCAGTAGTCCAATGGCATAGGGCATTAGCACCTACCCAGAGATCCCATAAAGTTTTAATGCACAGTTCACTTGGCCCTGTCGCTACAAGAATTCTGCCTTAACTGTGAAAATACTGCTAGTTGACATCAGTCCTAAAATGAAGGTTATTCGGAAAGGTCTTTGCTCTGGATAGGCTTTCCCGATCGGCTTTTAAGAACAGGTTCAGTTTGGGTTTTATATATAACTGAACTGTTGGGTTCAGCATGAGAGAATCAACAGGTTCCAATGCGGTGCCGTGAGTCACTCCTCTTACTGAGTAACAAGAGAGACCAAATTCTCTAGCGAAAACCACGCAATTCAGTTTAATCTGCCACACAAAGGGAGCACGGGTGAGAACCAGGCTGGTTTCAGACGGGTTGGATTGGCATGACTTTTTCGCCAGCTCCCCGGGGGAACTGTCGGCGGTTTACCATCCCTGGCTTTTGCCCTCGCTTTGATATGGAAGCACCGCCACCGGAAAGTAAGTCCTTCGTTGTACATAGAAAAGATGTTCTTTGACAACCCAAAACGTTCAATCCTGACCGTACTGCGACCTTCGGAATCTAACGGTAGATATCATTTGTTAAGGAAATATTCAGCTATTTTGAGGGGGGTGGGGCTGATTTTGTAGTTTTTTTTATCCACACTCGTGTGATGACGGGGAAAGCCCATAGTCGCGAGGATCTGCTGTTTAGTGATGGAGACCGGTAACTTAAGCCTCGGCGAACCGCATAATTCCCCGGTAGGTTAGGTGTGTTACTGAACCGGACGACAGTATAGCTGTCTACCACCAAAGTTGGGTGGTGGTGGCGGGGCTCGGACTACGGGGTTCAAAGCACGCTGGTGACCACTGCCCCACCACCACCGTAGTGCGAAGCAGGCAGCTGTTTCGTCTTCGTTGTCCCAGTAGAACTCAAGTATCAAACCGAAACTTTCACTCCTGAACTAAGCTACAAGTTGTGTGCTCCTAAGCTGCATCCCCTGGTTGTCGATAGATGGTTGACTACTAATCTGGTGGTTAAACACGAATAGGACTAGCCCTACTAACTAAGCGGTCCCGGACTATCAGCGGCAGCACTCTAGGGCGCGGTGGGGTTTTGATAGACTAAACTCCACATAGGTATGTAGACCACATTGCGACGTTAAGTTCGCTGCTCGCCACGTCCTCTACAGCTGCCATGCTGTCTACCGAGTATGGTCTTCCGGATGAGAAACAAACAGCACAACACGCCTCTGGCTGGTCTAAACCAACCCTGCTGTATTGCAAGCTGTACTTAGGTATTCGAACAAAAAAGACGGATGAGTGACCGGGTGGACAGAATACCCAACGTTCCTGAGTACATCCTTTTTCCATGGTCGTGGAGCCGATTTGTCTCCCAGAAGGTATTCAAGCAAAATTTAATGGTAAACGTTTCCATTCATGTTTTGTTTGTGGTTAGAGTTGTGAAACTTTCTGTTTCTTTTGATTAGATCAATGGTTGGTTGCAATCTACCTCAAAAAGCCTGCGGATTTTTGATGGACAAAGAACTGACGTACTTCGCCAAGGCCCTCGAAAACCCCGCCCGACCCTTCTTGGCTATCATTGGTGGGTAAGTTTTCCGCTTTTCATATTGGTCTTTACTGGAGTGTACTGGTTCTTCAGAAGATTAGCGAAGTTACTATGGTTTGTTCTTTTCAATTTATTCTACCGCCGCTAGTAGTTTAACGTAATAGACTGATGAGACACGAAACGTTTTTCAAGCTAAACGGAGATAAGAATTGTTGATGAGAGAATATACATGACAGTACGAAGCAAAACAAAACCAACCAATACCGGTATGCAGTTTGTTTACATATCCAGATGCAATGACTTTAATAGATGTTGGTCAAAAATCTTAGTTCGGCGAAACAGAAAACACTGTTCTCATTCTTCGTGATTAATTTCCTCCTCTTGTTTCCAACGTCACTGTGGTTATTATCGGCGCGTTGGCGCCAAGCTTGTTAGCAAACCGGTGATGTATATATAGTGTTAATACTTAGCACACCGCTCAAATATAAATTCACAAGTGATCAATCGGTNGTTTGCATGGATAAAACCTTTTCCTCATTCTTTCAGCGCCAAGGTCAGTGACAAAATCCAGTTGATCAAAAACATGTTGGACAAAGTGAACGAGCTAATCATCACAGGAGGTATGGCGTTCACCTTCCTCAAGAAGCTGTACAACATGAAGGTAAAAGCCACCGTTCGGTTGATATTTTATCCTCGTTTTCCAATTCTGTGCTGAGATGTCCACTCACTGTTTTTACCAAATACCTCATTCTACCTGGCTCTTGTTTATGGTCACCTATGTTACACATTTGTCAGAATATCGTATTTCCAACTTTTACCTTAACTGCAGGATTGTCAAACACGGGACCTTTCTCATTACTATTTACTTTTTCAAAACTAGAATCCATGTTTGCTTCCGCAATTTCTGTTTTTAACGTTTTTTCGTTTCCACCACCGGTTTTTGCTTCAGATTGGGAAAAGTTTGTACGATGAACCTGGGGCTGCAATTGTGGATGAAGTCATGGAGTTAGCAAAACAGAAGAACGTGGAAATTCATCTACCAGTGGACTTCGTGACGGGCAGCAAATTTGGTGACGACGCGACTGTTGGGTCCGCTACAGTTGAATCCGGCATACCTGAAGACTATATGGTACGTGAAAAATCCCTTCGCTATCGAATAACCAACTTATTTCTTCTTAGATTAACGAGAAGTAGATACTTAGGAAACTAACAACTTACTATAGGGAGCAAATCATCAAGTCTTATCGCTGATTGGACTACTGATTTCTTTGCCGCTGCTATTGACGTAGTCATGTGAACGCGCCTAACTTCGGTATTTTGTAAATCATATAGGGGTTGGATTGCGGCCCAAAGACCATGGAGAAATTCCGTGCAGTGATCCTTCGAGCGAAAACCATTGTATGGAATGGACCTATGGGCGTGTTCGAAATGGAGAAGTTTGCCGGTGGCACAAAGGCTGCAATGGATGCCGTTGTCGAAGCCACTAAGAACGGTGCCACTACTATCATCGGTGAGTTCGAGTAATATGCCCACAATGTGTCTAGCGCCGGATAGTAAACTGTGATCACTGTTCATTAATTGTTTCATATAACCTATCACTTCGTTCTTTATTAGTAGATCATATACGCCTATTGTTAGATGGCTGAAGCGCATACTTGTCTCCTGGTACCTCCTCACTTCTGCCTTCAGTTGGGTAGTTATCTGTGCTTATAACAGCAGCGGCGGTGTTCTTATCCACCCACCACAGGCCAGGCTTAGTGTGCGCACTGTCAGATAGACTGCACTCTGGTTAGGCTACCTCAGTTTACTCCGTCTTCCTTCAGGCGGATTCCATGCCTATTCACCCTGGACACTTTCTGTTATGATTTTTCTAATTGTGGGCGGTGCTTGACGATGAATCAGTGGTATTGTATCGATCCGTCCATAATAATCCCTTACTCTGAACATTGGTATTTATTGTAAATTGCTGGATTTTTTTCAGGTGGTGGTGACACTGCCACATGCTGTGCGAAATGGAAGACAGAAGACAAGGTTAGCCACGTCAGCACGGGAGGTGGAGCCAGTTTGGAACTGCTCGAAGGTGAGTCATCTCAAAGATTCCAGTAGTTGGCATCACAGTGGAACGAAATTTCATTCAATAATATTTTTCTTTTTCATTTCAGGCAAAGAATTACCTGGAGTTGTTGCGCTCAGTGATGCTTAACTAATCCTTTATGTGAATTCAAACTCATAGTCGGCTACGTTCGTAGTGTTATTGTTATTTTTCTTTGCCGTTCAGGCGCGTTCCGTTGACGAACACAATAAACCTTATTTTTCATCACTTTGACTTCAAACACAATTGAGCATGCCTTTGCCCAAATTCATTTTCCTCTTGGGAATGGTTTACTGTAATTCTGATATACTGACCGCTGGGCTCATATCTTTTCCGCCTTTGATTAGGGATGAATATGTTGTGGTTTGAACTGACGAACTTCAGGGTGGTGAGCAACCTGCCGCCAAAATGGGGGTTCCAAAAGGTAGCTGAACCAGTGGTTTCTTCTTTAGCTGTAATCGGACTAGGGTCGTTATTGTAGTATGCTGGTAGAACTGCTGCCGATCCATTTTGAAAGTGAGGCGAGGGCTGATAAAATATTCTGGTTTAGCGGTTGTTTTCTCCGTTGCTCACCGCTCCAATGCTCTAGGTCATAAATAGATAGTCACCGCATCGAAGTTTATCGTTGAAGATAAAGGAAAAAACAATGGACAATTTATCGTGTTATGAGTATCTAGAGCACTTCCCAATCGTCTTGGGATATGGAACAGTGGGGGCACTGAGTCAAACAGTCACGAAGAACTGTTGTTCAGTTATGGGAGAGGCAATTGCGTTGGCGAGCCGTATAATAGGGCAGGTGTGATGTTGAACCATAGTCAACAGAAATGTGGTTCTTGTTTACAAGAGCAAGTAACAACGCGGCACGAAAAGATTTTCGAAGAGAGCTCTTTATGCACTCAACCGCCAGCTGCTTAACTTGATCTCGCTTCGATTGTAAAGATGGATAAATGTATTGTATTTATGTGTGTGGGTTAGTAAGTTGCCAGCCTTTCTGTACAGCCATGTTTTGCACTTTTAAAGTGTAAATGTTGCCACAAGACCGGGTTGGTCGAGCACCCAACCTTTCTCTAACTGGAGAAGTAAAAGAGTAAGTGAAAAAGTTGTTATTTGGGCGTCTATATCTGACCCGGTGGACGCATCACAGGTGAAGCACCAGCCCGCATACCGAAGGCTCGATTGGCATTTGCCAACTTGAGACACTTGTGGCGAAATCCGGTTTTCCGTGAAGGGTTGAGTGTATAATGCGGCAGTTCGGCCAGTTCTGTCGTACAGCACAGAGACTTGGCCGTAACGGGAACAAGATATATATATATATATATATATACTGTTTGTGTTTAGACACCGCTGTCTACACAGCATTGCACGAATCTGTTGGGGTACCCGGACAAGCAATGCTGAGATTAGGCGCAGAGTTTTAGTTAATTGTGATCGCCCACTGGAGCAAGTGGTCGACCTCCATAGATTATGTTGTTTGGGATGTGTTACGCATGTCACCAAGTAGGTTACCGTGGTGCGCGTTGTTTGCCGAGGCAGGTAGTAGATGGAGAAAATCCAAGGGTACTCGGTCCCATGATCCGTGTTAGGCTCCCTGGCTTTGTACCTCGGGATGATCGTAACTGATGGTTAGAGACATTGAGTGATATGACTGTGGCATTCGTGCATATTCTAAATTTCTTCGCAGCCTTAGTCCTCTGAAATTCTCCATTTTCTCCTCGATTGTACTTTCAGCTTTCCCGTCCCTCCTACTGTACATTCAAATGGGCAACCAAAACCGGCGCACGAAAGTGCTTGGTTAACGGTTGCACAAACTGAATCTGTGCTTATGGGTTATTTTAACGTGTTAGTTGAAAAAAACTAAGCTATTCGGAATTGTGTGTTTGAGTTGGCCTCAAAGCTCATATTTTCTTGCCTGTGCCACGGGGGCGAATGAATCATTCACGGTAGCCTTCTTTGTGCAGGATGGAGAATAATAGTATGGTTTCGTCTGAAATCTGGTCTTCGGTACAGATTTTATGGACCTTGAAAAACGGAATCAGTATTCAATAAATGAGAAGTTAAAATATAAGCACCATCACGACGAGACTGCACCATGACGTGGTGTGATGGCTTGCGTGCCTCCATGACCCTGCGAGCTATACAGGATGGCTCGTCACAGCCGCGGATACACTCATCCCTGAAAGGTCACTGAGTAGAGGCCAGACGAAGATCAGTCTCACAAGGCCAGCTGCTTGGGCACCTGGCTTCCTTCTATCCCT